TAATAATAATAATAATAATAATAATAATAATAATAATAATAATAATATCATAAGCCTGAAAAAGTGGTAGAAAATGAGCATGTAAAACTACTGTGGGACTTCCGAATACAGACTGACAAAGTTCTGGAACACAATACCCTGGATATCACGATTGTGGAGAAGAAAAAAGTGTGGATTATTGACATTGCCATACCTGGTGATAGCAGAATCAATGAGAAACAACTTGAAAAAGTCACCAGATGTCAGGACTTGAGAATCGAACTTCAGAGACTCTAGCATAAACCAGTGCAGGTGGTTCCAGTGGTACTTGGCACACTGGGTGCTGTGCCTAAAGACCTAGGCAAGCACTTAAAAACAGTTGGCACCTACAAGATCACCATTGGTCAGCTGCAGAAGGCCACCTTACTAGGATCTGCTCGCATAATCTGCCGATACATCACGCAGTCCTAAACAGTTATCTAGTCACTCCTAAATAAATCTACCAAGCACAGAAGATGTAATATTATAAGTCAGTTCCTACAGATTTGTGCAAAATAGAGTAATTGCTGGTCAGGATCCTGTAGCTGAAACAGATTATTTGCAGTTTAGATCTGGATTTATGTTAGTGCTTTGGTGAACAGCTTTGCTGAAAGAAATGGGAGGTATTATGTGATTGATTAGTTTCTGTTAATCTCATTACCTTGGACTCCGCAAGATTAGCCTATTTGATGCTGGTAGATAGTTGCAGCTATGCCATGGAATTTCCTAGGATTCTGCTCATCTATCTTTCATGCTGTACCCCATTTCTAATAAACCAAGAGATAGCTATAGAATTTTATTTCATAAGATGTAGACAGGATGTTTGAATGAGATATACTGTAGCAGTTGGGGTGTGCTGCAACATATCTCATTCAAATATCCTGTCTATTGGTTTCATGGCAGACAATTTTTCCACAGACTGGGAGGTGGGGGGGTGGTTTCCATTTTGCACATTTATTCACCACTCACTTCTTCAGCAGGGATTGGAGACTCCTGATACACTGTTTGGGATGAGGACCAATAAACTGAGATTTGACTCTGATCAAGCAAAGATATTCTTAGAACATTGTTCATGTTCCATCAAGCCATTTCAATCTGGTTTGAAGAGGACTATATTCTTATTAAATATCAGATCCATAATGTAGGATTTGATCCACCACTATTGGTAACTTTTTAATAAGCTTAGACTGATATAATAACTGTGATGGTATTTGAGCAGAGAAAATCTTTTTGACGTTATCCCACTTCAGCTAGCCTAGCCTGCTTAGATCGCTGCCAATAACTGTAAGCTTTCACCATTATGAGATGACAAAAATGTAAAAACCTAGGGTATGCATGGTACAATCCAAACTTTAGGCAAGATTACATCGATATCTGTTCTGATGTGTTTAGAATTTCACTCTTGGGATAGTACACAAAACAGTTTTACAGTAACACAACGCATATATTTGGGGTGGGTGGGAATTACAATGTTGTTTTATTGTAGTTAACTAAAAATCCACTTTACATGTGCCCAGCGTTAGGATATCATACAATCATTATCCTGGTTCCTGTTTTTCAAGCTAGTTTCAGATTAAATCTGAACTGGATTCCTCCAACCACTTTTCTGTGCTTGAAGAAAGTCTGGTTTTCAACGTCAGATGGTTAGAATCAGAATTCTCCAATAAGTTGAGAGAATACCTCCTAAGTTTGGTTTGGTTTTTGTTTTGTTTTGTTTTGCCTGGAAGCTTCTGCTAGGAAGGCTGATGATCCTGAAAATTCAAAGAATGAGTTGGGCGGGGTGGTGCGAAGGTATTTATACTTCATCAGTTAAAACATAGTCCAAGCAAATAATCTTTTAAAACTCCTAAGAAATCACCTCTGCTTATTTTCACAGATTTAAGACACTGATGACCAATAAAACAGGACAAGACAGCCAAGGCAATAAGATTGTGGAAATTAGTGACATGAGATACAATATCTTCAAGGTGGGTTTCAAAGAATAGTTCAGTTTATTCTTTCCATTGTCCAACACTGAAATGTGGAGCTGTGGCATTTATCTTCTGATGCTTAGCACATTTGAACAAAAAGAAAGCAATGATTAACTCTGAGTAAAGATAGTGGTTTATGCTTATGTCCATGGGGTGAGGCCAAATCAGCAGCAACAATAAAAACCCTGCCAGGTTTTTTTTTCATCAGATCGGCCAGATCCACCCAAAGTTCACTTTTTCCATTATAAGTGTTCCTGAAATGCAAGCACATACTGAAGAATAGTCATTTTATTTAGCAAAAGTATATTCCATGGATAGTAACCAAAGCTTCCCAGGCATAATTTTCATGCTCTGTTGAACAAATTAAATATGAATAGACCAAAAAATCTTGCTGGCTTTATATTAAATCCACTTAAGCAATTGAAAGCTTATGAGGCTTTCTAGTAAAAACAAAACTTGAATGTGGAATATTTTAAAATAGATACATAACCTAGGATGTGGAAAGTTGTCAAAAGGCAATAAATAAAGCTGACTTTGACATGGAAAAAGTAAATCAGTAAAATCTTAATACACAACAGCATATTTCGCTCTCTAGTTTCGTTTTTACAGAGCAAGCTGAAAATATGTGAAAGCTAGAAACCCAGAAAAGATTATATTGAAAGACTATCAAAAGAATCAGTTGGTTTTCTTCAACTCTCAGTCAATTGTATTTATTTATTTATTTTGGCATTTAATTTTATTTATTGATTGATTTGATTTATATTGCTGCCTATTTGCCCATGGCGACTCAAATAAAAATAAAAAACAAAAAGAATCAAATAAATTAGTAAAGTAAATAGAACAGAATTTGGGAAAACAAAAACAAAAAACAACTATCACCCACCCCCATCCCAACGAGAGCAGGTCACACTAGCCATTTGATGGATTCCATCCCTCTCTGGGTTCCCCAGGCCCACTGGCAAAACCAGGTCTTCAGTGCCTTTCGGAATAGTATTAATGAGGGGGGCATTCTAATCTCTGGGGGAATGATGTTCCAGGGAGATGGAGCCACCACGGAGAAGGCCCTTCTTCTAGGTCCCACCAGGTATATCTCCCTTAGGGGTGGAACTCGCAGCATTCCTTGCCTCGTCACTCTAATGGGTCAGGTAGATGTCACTGGCAAGAGGTGTTTTCTCAGATAACCTGGACCCAAGCCATGAAGGGCTTTAAAGGTGACAACCAGCACCTTGAATTGCACCCGGAAACAAATTGGCAGCCAATGCAGCTCCTGCAGGAGAGGTGATACATGTGCACACCAGGGTCTGCATAAAACCATGCGGGCCACTGCATTTTGCACCAACTGAAGCTCCCGGATGCTCTTCAAGGGCAGCCCCATGTAGAGCGCATTGCAATAATCAAGACGGGAAGTGACCAGGGCATGAGTGACTGTGAGTAGGGACCGCTGATCCAGGAAAGGGCATAACTGATGCACAACCCGCAGTTGCACAAAGGCCCTCTTGGCCACGACCGCCACCTGCTCTTTGAACAGGAGTCGTGAGTCCAGGAGAACCCTCAGATTACGCACAGGGTCTGTTTGGGGTAGTGCCACTCCATCCAAGACTAAAGGTGGCAATTCTCTCTGATCCAACAAACACCAGACCCAGAGCCAATAAGTCTTGCATGGGTTTAGTTTCAACCCATTCCTCCCCATCCAGCCCCTAACAGCTTCCAGGCACTGCGAGAGGGAGACATAGCAACACTTAACTTGCCATGGGCCGAGGCATACAGCTGAGTATCATCAGCATATTGGTGATACCTCAGTCCATGGTGACAGATGATCTCACCCAGTGGTTTCATATGAATGTTGAACAGGAGTGGAGAGAGTATCGAGCCCTGCGGAACCCCATAAAGCAGTGGGCGAGGGTTGGATCTCTCTCCTCCTATCAACATTGACTGAGAGCGGCCGCAGAGGAAGGAAATGAACCAAGACAGCACAAGTCCTCCCACTCCCATCCCCCGAAGCTGTCTCAGGAGAATCCCATGGTCAATGATATCAAAAGCCACTGAGAGGTCAAGTAGAGCAAGGATGGATGCACTACCCCCATCCCGCTCCCGCCAGAAATCATCCAAAAGTGCAACCAATGCTGTTTCTGTCCCAAATCCAGGCTTGAATCCTAATTGATAGGGGTTGAGATAACCTATTTCATCCAGAAACCTCTGGAGCTGCTGCGTGACCACCTTCTCAACAACCTTCCCCCAAAAGGGAAGATTGGAGACAGGTTGGAAATTATCCAACCGAGTGGAGTCCAGCAATGGCTTCTTAAGAAGAGGGTGGACCACAGCCTCCTTAAAGTGCTGGGGCACTGTCCCCTCCTGTAGAAAAGCTTTGATCACTGCCAGAGTCCACCCACTTGTCACCTCCTGGGAAGCTTTCACAAGCCAGGAGGGACATGGGTCTAAAATACAGGTGCTCACGTGCATCCTCCCTAGGATCCTGTCCACGTCCTCAGGAGCAACAGGGTCAAACCATTCCCACATAATAGGGCAAGAACCTGCCACAGAAGCTTCCACCTGATCAGCAACCACGCCAGCATCTAACTGGGAACGAAGTCAAGCGATAATCCGCAAATTCCTCAGCGCACCCCTTCAAGTGGACATAATTATATGTCTATGGAGATTCTCAATCATCCAGGTCATGGAAGTCCAGTTGCCTCTTGAAAAAAAAAGCACCTTTTTTACTTACCTTGCAATGAACTAGGTGAAGACAGAAGAGTTTAGGATTCTATTGACCAGGGTTTGTAAGCTTTACACCAGTCTTTGCAAGCCAGATCTATCCACCATTAGGGTCGATCTTTTTTAAAATTGATTTATAACATAAAATACAAAAAATACAGAAGAAAATAGTAGGAAAATAAAGGAGGGAGAAAGGAAGGGAAAAGTGTAGGGAAAAGTGGAAAAATAAAGAACGTTGACTTCCGACTCCCTTTGGTGCAGTAGAATAAGATAATAGCACCAACCTCAACTTTTTACTTTTACATAATAGTATAAACTAGCCATTTCTATAACAACAAACCTATCTGATCGGTAAAATCAGTTTCATTTTTTTTTCCACCTCAAGCACAAAGTCCAGAAGTGGTTTCCAAGTAGAAACGATAGTATTTTTTTTCTTCAATCAAAGCAGTCAATTTAGACCTCTCTGCTAACTCCATCAACTTTTGCAGCCACTCCATCCATTGTGAGAATCAAAGGGTCCTTTGATTTATGTGCATAAAGTAATCTTGCTGCCGTCAACATACATAATATCAAATGTTATGGTTCATCTTTGAAGTCTTTATGGGAGAGTTAATGCTGCATGTTGCATTTGCTTTCATCTCAGTAGTGGAAGGTTTCTGTCGGTTCCTGTTACAGACTTTCTAATGCTCTACCTTTCTTCTTTTAGATGCTGATGCAGTATTTATATTATGGAGGAACGGAAGCCATGGAAATCCCCATAGCTGATATCCTAGAGGTGAGCATTTGCCTCTCATTGACTTTTGACATATGTCTAATGTGTCTTCATTACCAAACTGGTGCTAATTGCAGGAACACTTATCTGCACATTGAGTAAATGAATTCTAGAGTTAAAACTGTTTATCCAATCTGTGTGCAAATCAAAACAGCACAAACATTCCTTTGATTGATGGGAATATGATGAAAATATTCTAGACTGATTTTCAGAAATGTATATTGAATAAACTGCATCAGTGCGTGCCCAGAGAGATTCTCTGGGTAGAAAAAAAAACAGGTTATAAATTGATGTGTGAAAGAATATTGCTTTTCGTCTACTTCAACTTTCTCCAGCTTGCTAAAGTTTGAAATTGTTATCTCAAACCATTCATTACTGCAAGTGATGGAGCTATCAATTTGTTTGGAGATAGCCTATAGTACTGAACTACGTGTGGGACAGTCAAAAAGAAGAAAATGGTGCAGTAGTCAAGAAAAAAGAGGAACAATCTGGCAGCTTTGAGATTAACAGGAGTATTATAAAATGTAAAGTGCAAAACAGAGAGGATTAAAGATAAGCACCAAGGCTAAAATAATGACAGATATTGGGAATAATCAAGTAGAAATAATCTTGAGAAAAAAGATAAGGAAGTTAGTCTTCATCATACTGAGATAAGCAACAAGGATGAGACCTGAGTCAGGCACGTAGGTGTAGACGTAAGATTTTGGGATTGAGCAACACAATTACAGCTTGAAGAGTTTAGTTAAACTGCAGAGTTTCACATACATACAAAATGCAGCCATCACACCATTGCAATATCTTTGTAATATCTCTGGGGATTACTAGTTATAATGGGAATATTTTTACGCTTGTTGGAAGATTGGAATTGTTTTACACATAGTATTAAGAAGAAGATGGTTACGGCACCAGACTAGAAACCAGGAGATTGTGAGTTCTAGTCTTGCCTTAGGCATGAAAGCTATCTGGGTGACTTTGGGCCAGTTATTCTTTCTCAGCCCACCCAATGCACCTCACAGGATTGTTGTGGGGAAAAGGAATATTGTGTACATTTGCTTACATTGTTCATAAAAATAATAAATGCAGGAAATAAATAAATAACAATATTGGTGACCTTTCAAACTGGATGTTTTTAATAACTTATAGCATTGACTAGCCTTTGTTTGTCTTGAAAAATTAAGGACAATGAATTATAATAGAACTATGCAGACACTTACATGAAGGACCATGCAAAAATTATAGGGCTGCAATGGAAAGGTGAAAAAATAGCCCAAAAGGCAGCAGTGACAAACCACATCCACATACAAATGTGAGCATATCTAAGATTTCATGTTGATCTGAAAGAAGCTATATGTTATCATATAGAAAGCTTCCTATCCCAGCGACCTTGGACAGAGGCATTATTAGGGTATATTATTCCTCAACTAAGCATTCCAAATTTTCTGGAAAAAATGCAGTTTGGAGGTATTGCTTAATCCCTCATGATTACTAGTGTATCTCTTGTGACTCAGATGCCTTTAACAATTTGAATTGATAAATCAGGACAAAAGCTATTGTGCAAAGGCAACTTTCAAAATAGTCCCCAAAATTTATAGGGCTGCAAGATTTCTCCTCCCTTGTATTCCTACATGAACATTGACATCCTTTTGAAAGGCCTCTTTCGAGTGAGATTACAATAAATAAGATAGTGAGCCTTATTCTGCATTTTCTTTGATTCCTGGTAAATACTTTTAGTTCTAAAAATTCATTATTTTTTAAATACACACATACTTTTCATTTTTAAGGTGTGTTACATTTTAAACATTTTGGGGGGGCATGTCACCCAAAGGACTTCAGCTCAGGGGTGACCTAGAATTATTGCATGTCAATGGAATGAGCAGAATGTTAAAATAATGCCTTCGCTTTCATCCTGGCCAGTTGCTGTCAGCTGCAAGTTTATTCCAGTTGGATGGCCTCCAGCGCTACTGTGAGATACTGTGTGCTCAGACAATCAATACTGAAAGCTGTGTTCACATCTATAAATATGCCAAGGTAAAGATGACATTTTCGTCAACTTCCATGTATAAGATGCCAAATCTTAGGAATTAGAAAAATGGCCTTAAACGCATCAGAAGCTGGAAACCAGGAAAGAGGTCTTACAGAAGGACAGCATTAGGAAAGATTCCCCCATCTATGTGGGGAAACCCAGTATTGCAAAATAAACAATTCCATGGGTGGCAGCTGAATATGAAGAACCCAGGCTTGGGAACCACTTCTCCCACTTGAATTTACTCAGTGGGGAGATTCAACTGGTGTAACAACCGGTTCGCACAGCATTTAAAAAAGCTCATTTTCAGCTCAAATACTTAACTTCTACTGCAGCCCCTGCGAATAAAACAGCTGAGACGTGGCAAACCTCTCTGCCACGTGAATCAGCTGTGCTCTAAAAAAACGAAATAAAGCACCGGAACTCACCGGAACTACCAGTTCACCTGAACTGGTCCAAACCGGTAGAATCCCACCCCTGGCTTTAATTCAATAATTCCTTTCCTTCGTAAGACCCATCATACATGCCTCAAATTTGCTTGACTGTTAAAACTGGAACCTGCTCTTTATTCTGCCACATTAATTGCAGTGTCCCATAACCAAACAGGTGCAGGTAATCCTTGTTTAACAGCCCCAATTGGTTGGGCCGGCAACTCTGTTATCTGTTAAGCAAAGCAGTTGCTAAGTGAAGCCATGACTCTGTTTTATGAACTTCCTTCAGCTTTCCTTTGCCCTGTGAAGGTCATCAATTGTGAGAATTGGTTGTAAAGTTACTTTTGTTACCTGTGAATAGTTGCTAAACAAGTACTGCCTATATTAGCCTGGCAGTTTCACTGACCAGTTGCTAATTCCCTTTTAAGGCTTCCTTTACTTTGGCTGAACAAGTAGCAGGGAAACAGAGGGTTTAAAGGGGAGGGGGATTTTAGCCACTTTAAAATATCCCTGTGGAATAGCCACAGAGAAAGAGGGTGGACACACATACACACACACACACACAATAGATGGTACTTTTTAACCACAGAATGAAAATGTTCTCAGGCATTTGCTATTAGGATGAAGCTGTCTTTGGAGGGAGGAGGGGGGATAATTGACAGCTGCCTAATATGTATTTTATCACAGCTTCCCTTTGTCTTTTATAGATCCATAATGCCCCAGAGCTGGCCTCTTTTTGCGAAGGCTTTTTTCTCAAGCATATGAATTCCCTGGTGCAGCAGGAATCGTTCAGGCAGCTCATCTATGGCAGGAACAGCAGGGTTCAGGGCCTGGATCCCCTCCAGGATTTGCAGTCCACTTTGGCCAGCAGACTTCATTCCGTTTATGTAACTTCAAGAGTGTAATTGCTAAGATCCTCAGCCCTGCTATGAAGGAAAGCACCTGCTCATTGAACTGCACTGAAATGGGATCTTGGCCCCATTGTGGTTGCTTCATCCAGCTTTTGGAGACAGTGCCTCTTCCACCACCTCAGCAAACTTATCCAAATGCAAGAAAAATAACTCTGCACGTGCCACAACAGTTTTACCTGAAAATGGATGAGCAGACTCTGAGGTGGGACGCTGCTATTCTGCTAGGTACGCATCACAAAGGAGAACTCAGGGGGAAATTCACTTCTAAGTGTCCAAAAGATTGCTTAGAAGAATGCACAAACCATAGTTGGCATTTAGCTGGAGGGTGGACTGTTTAAAAAATGGCTATGAATGTAGAAATTCCAATTTCTCTCAACTTCGGCTACCCAAACTGTCTAATATTGGGCTACCTGATTCCACCAGAGTGCCATACTGTAAACATCTGGCTTTTGCTTTGTCCACTGAGACGTGCAGGTTCAGTAGGTGCTAAAGCTAAAACAGAAGCTAGTTTTGACGATACAATAATATGCTACGTAATAGATTCTAGGTTATTTTAGCCTCAATTTTTAACTAGCTCTGGCTGTCCATTTTTGTATTTAAAAAAACATAACCTGGTATCCCTAATATTTACAGCTACCCATGTCTGTGTGCGAATTATTATCGCTAAGACCATCACACTGTGGTATCTACGATACTGGTTGTTACAGATAGAATTTCTCTCATTTCTGCAATATAGTTGTATATAAAGGTTGGGGCTTGCTTTGTCAATGCTATATTATAGCAAAAATTGCCTGAAATGCCTGATCTGGTACTTATGATCTGGACCACCGTCCCCCCGGGAATTATGTGCATCACACACAGAAATACGACTAGCCAATTCCGACTAAAGGGATCTCTGTATAGAAAGATTGTATATTTGTGCAATCATTTTGGGGACTGGAAGTTGCAAGCAATAATCGAGCTCCATGCAGACTACACCTGCTGCCTGAATCGTATGATTTCGAATGAGAGCCACATTTAAATACTGCTACTGCACCATTTGCTGCATGTGACAGCATGCTGACTGACTAAACTGGATTTCAGCTAGTGTAGGTGAATCAGGCCTGGCTGGGTTCAAATTCCAATATTAAATCATTGTAAGTAATTGAACAAGGACTTTTGCACATGTCATCTCACCATTTGAGTCAGAAAGTCAGTATGACTGGGACAAATTATTTGCATTTCCCTCCACATACGCTTCAGTCTCCATTGAAATTTAAGGGTTGACCTGGGAAATATTTGAAATAGGAAGATGCTTCCCCTCTTTCCAATGCTCAGTGTTTTACTTCCATCTTTGAATGGACTAGAAAATAGTGACTTAGGATATCGTCTTAATAATTGTGTATTAACAAAGGGATTATGGTTACCAGTTGGGGAAATATGCATAAATCAAATATTTTTTGAAGGATAGATTGTCAAACTAATCAAGGGGGAAAGAAGTCAAGTCAAATGGGAAGGGCGCTAGGCATGTGCCACAAGAGTTTTTATGGTGTTCCAGGGAAGAGAATGGAAGAGAATGGAAATTGTGTAAATACATAGATGTTTCAGAAGCAAGAGAGGCTTTCCCCATAATCATCTATTTGGGAGTTTAATGTCCTCACCGTAAAAATCTTCATTTTTAACAGAGAGAAAAGTATTCATTACAGAATGAACCGCATTTACAAATATTACATTTGGTCTAAGGATATAAAGATTGAAGCAGTTCAACAATAACACAAGCCATAATTGTGACTGAGCCAGGGGGGTTGGGTAAACTAACTGAGGAAAAATTATTTTTCTTGCTCCTTTATCAGTTACAATCTGTGCCTAAAGAGTTCGGTACGTTTCCATAATGCATGTAAGTCACATGGTACAAAGGCAATACCTAAAATATTCATAAATGGATCAAGAAAGAAGTGAGATAGATGGAGAGGAATCAAAACATGAGAACTGTATGAATTACCTACACATTTCAACTCTTACTTACAGGATAGCCCTACATATTAAAAATGATAAGCTATAAATCTTTCATTTTTTTCAAATCTGGATCCGCAAAACAAACACAAGCTCCTCACATCCTCCAGATCACGGAAAAATGTAAGATTTGTCATGAAGTAGTTAGGAAATACCCTAAAGTTTGTCATTTTGGAAAATAATTTTCAAATAGCTGATTTAGCTACCTGTACAAAAATCTGTTGTATTGTGATAATGTCTGCTATATTGACTGTACATTAATGTTGTCATTTTATGTAAATGTCCCATATTTTATTAACATGACACTTGGTTAAACTTTTCAGATGGTGTAATGCTTAATAATTTAAAATGGTGTAACAAAATAAAATGGGCTATGTAAGTACGGTCTTCCCCCCCGCGCCCCCCCTCCCCAATTTCTATGCTTGTTGGATTACAAGGAATACAGGCAAAAATACTGCCTTTAAAAGAGGGCCAGTTTAGTGTAGTGGTTAAAGCAGAAGTCTCCAAACTTAGCAACTTTAAGATTCGTGGACTTCAACTCCCAGAATTCTCCAGCCAGCAGCATAGCTGGCTGGAGAATTCTGTGAGTTGAAGTCCACGAATCTTAAAGTTGCCAAGTTTGGGGACGCCTGGGTTAAAGCATCACTCTAGAAACCAGAGACTATGAGTTCTAGTCCTACCTTGAGTATGAAGCCAGCTGGGTGACCTTGGGCCAATCACTCCATCTCAGTCCTAGAAAGTAGGCAATGGCAAGCCACTTCGGGGGGGGGGGACCCTGCCAAAAGACCCTGCTGTCCTGGCAATCTCCAGGAGTCAAGAACTCAGTGAAAGGCCTGCCTGCATATGCACGCATGCTTTTTAAAATGCTTTTGCGAAATTAGAAAATTTTCAGTCTCAGCGTTCTTCACTTGATGCTCTGAAATTGTGTATATTCCCAGCTCATGGTTTCAGTCCCAAATCCTGTTTTTTCTCTGTGCAGCATGTCTAATAATAAAATAGGAGCTCCTAAGCCCATAGAGGTTCCCCATTTCCATGGCAGCACTAAAGAATGTCTGAACACGTACTACTTTTTAAAGGTTTTCTGCCTCTGAAAAACCTTAGTTGATCGTGGATCAAATTTTTCGTTTTGCTTTGGACGGTGGAGGTGATCACAGTCAGGAGAATCATCAGTGGTCAACTTTGCACTTGCACCAAATAGAGCTTAATTACAAAAACTATTAAGCACTGACAGGAATAACGGCCTTTCTATGCCAAGTCAAATAAGATTTCTTGGATGCAGAATACTTTTAAAGAGTGTTCAGTTGTAAAGGTTCAAACATATTTTAGTACTGCACTGAAATTGAGCCATGTAGAACCTCTATGGGCTGGGGGGGGGGGGTGTCCTATTTTATTTTAGTCAAAAAGCCCCCAAAGCCTAAATTCATAAGTGGTCATTTCACTCTAGGCCTTTATAATGCAGTTACAGGACCACAAAAATGCATTTCTCCCACCCATGTAGCTTGACTGAGGGCTGCCAAGAAAGTTGCACCAGGGAAACAGCTGCTGCAGTTAAAAAATGCAGAGTTCAGACATGTGAATTACAAGTGGACACAAGCACATTGAGAAAATCTGTAGTTGGTATTTGTTGATTTATTTATTTGGGCAAACAACTCTCTCCGTTTTCTGAAATCCATGCTGATCTCTTGACAATAAGAAAATTGACCACAAAGACGACCTCTGTGACCAGGCACCCACCACTCTTTGGGTTCTAGCCATTGCCCATCCCTTTAACTGCCTTCTTAAAAAAAGGCAACAAAAAAGATTGCCACTAGCATCTGCTGAGAAGTCACTCCCCGACCAAGCTGAATGCACCACTTACCCTCCTGGGGCCTAGGCTGTTACTACAGTTGGCAGCACTGGATGAACTTCCACTGCTGTGCACATCCCCTAGGCAACCCTTTCCTCCAGATCCTTACAAGCCTAGGACTTGAAGTGTAGAAGTGTAAGCAAATATCTGGCTGCTAGTAGCATCAGGGGAGGATCTGCTTTGGGACCTATGGAAGGGAAAGAAGCTAATCTGGGCAGATCGGGCCTTGTTGCCATGAAAGAAGTTTCCTATTAAGCAACAAAAAAAAGGGCTTTACTATATCACACCCAACCAGTACAAGTTAACATGAAAGCTGCCAATGTGCATTTTTTTGGAACGTATAAAAAGCATAAAGTCTCTCATTTAGTGATTCCTAAATCAGGGGTCTCCATCCTTGGCAACGTTAAGCCTGGCGGACTTCAACTCCCAGAATTCCCCATCCAGCAAAGGAATTCTGGAAGTTGAAGTCCACCAGGCTTAACGTTACCAAGGCTGGAGACCCCTGTCCTAAATGACCCAAGTGACTGTAGAGTAGTTCTCCTGGGCATGTCCAGAGAGGTACTAGGCTGGTGCAAAACAAACAAAACCATCTCTGCGGACCATATTAAAGACTAATGCACTGATTTGTGCTGATCTCGTTGGGTGAGAGCCAGTATCTTACTCATGTTCTATGGATTAAGGTAAAGGATAGTTAGGTGTGCATCAAACAATTGGGCAATTTAGCAGAAATTCCAGATATAAAGCTGGTATGAAAAGATCATTCTCCCCCAGTCTCCACTTCAAATACCTGAGCCTTGCATCAGAGAATGAAAGACTGAACAAATGATACCATATTTTCAGAAGTTTTACCAGATGCATGCCTCCAGCTGATGATCAGGCGCTCTCAACTATACAGCCTTCATCTTAAGGGCATCCAGTCTGTAGTTCACTCTTTCTAACAAAAGACCTTTCCCAGCCAGTAAGATAGGTGCTGTCAGCTGTCAGAACCATTCAAGTATTTCTGAAGCAGAGGCACAATCACACCTGACAACTAGGTCATACCATCTCCTTCCCCCTACAGGGAACCGTGGCAGCCCTACATAGCTTTGTCATCGTCCTCTAAATCAAAGCATGCTCAGACCCACAAGGGGAAGTGGCCACTTCATTCGTCTTTCCGTCAAAGATGCCCTGGATGCAGATAGTGGCCTCACCTGGGCACGCAATCTTTAATATTCAAAAGCGAACCTTTCTGAAGAAACGATCATTGCAGAAAGGGAAAATGCTATGGGACAACTCAGGTCTTGAAAGGCTTCTTAGCATGCAGATATAGGGAACCATTTAGGACAGGGTGGCCCAGCTGAGGGGAGGAGAAAGGGGGGAACTGGACCGGGTGACTGATGGGCTGGTGCACATGCATGCACATATACAACCCTTGCACAAGTGTCAGGCTGGCACACACAGAGATCAACTTGCAACGAGCAGTGGGGGCCCCGCTGGCCAGTTGCTCCAAGCTGCTCATGCAGCCTAATTCCAAAAAGGCCACAGCCCGGTACAGCCAGGGATTGGGGACTCCTGTTTTAGGACATCAGAGTTCCTTCTGCTGGCAGAGACTTGCCAAATAATTTGGAAGAAAGACAAGTTTCTTTTCAGGCAGATTTCAAATATTATGCATAAAAATTCTATGGATTTCTATTTTACAGCAGACACAATAAGGACATACAAAGACAATAGGGTGAACTCCTAATTAAGTGTGCTTGAAAATCAAGCAGCATTGCAAACCAAATGTATGTCAAAAGGGCACGTGTAGCGATGTCACAATACAACTTCGACCCTCATGTCTTTGCCACCTGACGTTGAATGCAATTATTGAACTCTCATGACTAAAAGAGAGCCATTAAATAGTCATTGCTCCACTGCTTATAGATTTATATCCATAATTTGGTAAAGGCATGTCGTAATAGATTACCCTTAGTTGACACTGATAAAACTGTTGGCTAAAACAAATGCAAAATTGTTTTTGCTTCTCCGCTTGCGCGACAGCGATCTCTATATTTTGCCAGAATTTTGTTCTCAAAGGGTTTTGTCCTACAGTCTTACGATACCTTTTCAAATGTTTTATTCCATTCTAGAGGAAGTATACCACAAAACCAAAGGATAAATGAGGGTCTAACTACAGACCAATTTTCTAGCACTTGAAGGAATACAAGCTGGTTTCCCAATTTAGCTAGAGCCACATATCAATTATGGTCAATTTTGAAAAGGTTATCTCTACTGTGTGCTCAGTTTTGAAATCCCTCATTCATGGGTTCCCCAGTGTTCCTTTTTTATTTCTAACGCACTGTCTTCCAACACTATTCTGAGATCAGTTAATGCCAGGTCATCTTGATAAGCCTTCTTGATGTCAAGACGACAGTCTCCTTGAATAATAATTTGTTTCATACACACTCTGTTCAAAAAGCAAAAAGGGATACAGAGCCAAAGAATAAAGAGCCAATTAAGCACATAGAGCTAATTAAGTTTGACTATAGACAATTTCTGCTGTATCAGGATTCTGAAAAGTGCTTTTTTTAAAAAAAAAAACCACCAAAGTTTACACAATTCTTTTTTTCTTCTGTTCTTTGAAATGAGGTAATTTTCCCTTGCACAAAGGAAAGCTGATTAGTTGTTAAGAGTGTGTGCTTCAAGACTAGGCTTCTTTCTTAAAATGCTCATTTTAAGAAGCTTATTAGGTAGCAATGAAAGAGCCAGTGTGTGGCAGAATAGGTCTTATGTGAAGACCATGGAAGTTCAAGTCCACCTGGAGCCATGGATACTCACTAGGTGACTTTGGGCCAGTCAATGTCTTAGTCCATCTAAGTCACAGAATTTCCCCATGTAAGTTATCTTAACCTGCTAGAGAAAAAAACAGGTTATAAATATTAAAAATAAGTAGATTAAGTGGTCATATCCAAGCTGAAAACTACAAGTTACCAACCCATTTCTACTCGTACCTTCTGTATTTCATTCAGTCACTCAAAGAAGAATTAGGGGTGACATGATAGCAGTATTCCAATATTTGAGGGGCTGCCACAAAGAAATTATTCTCCAAAGCACCTGAGGGCAGGTCAAGAAACAATGGATGGAAACTAATCAGAGAGAAGCAACCTGGAATTAAGGAGAAACTTCCTAACAGCAAGGACAATTAACCAGTGGGATAGCTTGCCTTCAGAAATCGTGGACGCTTGAGCAGGGGTTGGACTAGAAGACCTCCAAGGTCCCTTCCAATTCTATTCTATTCTTGTAGCAGTCATGCAACAGTATAGAATTAAACATGAGATGGCAGTGGTGGAAGCAGAAGACAACCCTAATCACTTGGAAATCTTACAAATACAGGTAGT